GTAGAGCGCTCGCATTGAGCTGAAGAGCTGAAGGACAGCGCCCAGGCCCAGAGTTCAAGCCCCACGACCAACAAAAAAAAAAAGCTAGGAGGAAGTTTTTGGTGCCTATGAGCTTAAAAGTATATCCCATAGTGGCTAAGGAAAGTCCATAGCAGAGTAAAAAATGAATTACACCATCTCTGCCCTCTAGGATAAAGAAAAATGCGGCACATTTTAATGTGCCCACATGTTAATGCCCACACTTGGGGCATTATCATGGCTTCCTCAATCCAGGAAGTAACCTGAGGATAATTGGGAAATATTAGATCAGAAGTTGGCAGACTTTCCTGGAAAATTCCTTTCCTACAGTTCCAAACAGTATAATAGCTGCATAATAAATGTAATAGTTGGGATCTGTAATGTCTTAAAGGCCCAGGTATTAATAAAGCCTTGATCTTTTTAGCTTGGTGCTATAAGGAGATGGTGGAAACTTGGTCGGACCTAGTGGGAAGGTTTAGGTCTTAAGGAGTATACCTCAAGGGGATGGTGGGACCCACCCTTCTCTTCTTTCTCTTCTCTTTGTTTCTGTGCTGCCACAAAGTAAGAGCTTCCTCTACCTCCCACTCTTGCCATGATGTACTGTCTTGTCATAGGCCTAAAGTGACAAACCAATCAACATCAGACTGAAACCTATGAGCCAAAATAAACTTTCCTATTTTTTTTTTTTCAGTCGTGGGGCTTGAACTCTGGGCCTGGGCGCTGTCCTCCGCTCTTCAGCTCAAGGCTGGCGCTGTACCACATGAGCTGCGGCCCTACTTCCAGTTTTCTGGTGGTTTATTGGAGAGTCTCACAGACTTTCCTGCCCAGGCTGGCTTTGAACCTTGATCCTCAGATTTCAGCCTCCTGAGGAGCTAGGATTACAGGTGTGAGCCACTGATGACCAGCTAAACCTTTCCTATTTTTTATGTTGACTGACTGAGATATTTTATTACAATAATGAGGATTGAGGTTTAAAGCCAACCTTAGCAGACAAATCTGTAATATTATTGTTTGTTTTTTCTTTGTGTGTGGGGGGGTAGGTTCTGGTCGTGGTGCCTGAACTTTGGGCCTGGGTGCTGTCCCTCAGCTCTTCAGCTCAAGGCTAATGCTCTACCACTTGAGCCACAGCACCACTTCCAGCTTTTTTCTTTTTTGCTTATGTGGTGCTGAGGAATCGAACCCAGGGCCTCATGCATGCAAGG